TTTTAAAAATTTTTTCCCCCCCCCCCACCCTTTTCTTTTGTGCTTTATTTTTTGTATTCTTGTACTCTTCTTATTTACAATTGCTTTTTTTTATTTTACTTGGGGTGCATGGAATGTTCATTCTTTGGAGTCTTGGTAACAAAAAACTGATGGTCTTCCTGTATTCTAGTGGCCTAACATGTTTTGATGGCATGATAATACATGAAGCTTTTAAGTATCACTTGCTTCTCTGGATTAGTGTTTTCGCAAGTTATAAGTGTGCAACACAAACCGAGTTCTTATCTTTTCACTTTGCAGGCCAAAAAGGATAAAGATGGAAAAGATAGAGAGAGAAAGAGGACGAAGCACAGAAGGGATAAAGAGAGAGGATTTGAGAGTAAGAAAGGGAAAGACAAAGCAACAAACGAAGGAACAGACAGTGAGATTACTGATAGAACAGAATCCCACCGTTCGGAAGAGAACAAAAGGTCAGGAAGAGACAAGGATAAGAAACATCGAAAGCGTCCGAGTTCCTCAGATGATTTAAATTTTGATGACCATGAGAAAGATCGGTCCAAGAGTTCCAACAGACATAGCAGTGACCGCAAAAAATCAAAGCAGGTAACATAATACATTTCCCCGTTTGTGTAAAGAATGATTATGACTATTTTTTGGGTATATGCAAAGATCAAAATTTCGTTTTGGTCACCTAAGAAATGAAAACGTTTCGGTAATAAAATGAAAAAAATAAAAAATTTAAGAATTATTTTTTCAAAACATAGGTCGGAAAAAATCAAAGTACCTTGAAATACCTTGAAACATCCCGAAATAATTGTGAAAATACATTGAAACATTACTAAACACCTCAAATGATTATGAAACATCTCAAAACATTAGAATTTTGATTTCATCATTGATTCATTTTGTTCATCTTAGAAATAGAAACGTTTCGAACGTTTTGAAACGAAATTTTGATCCTTGGGCATTTGGTCCCTATCATGTGCCTTCAATTCTGTAAAAGATGAAGGCCTTACTGTTATATGTGGAGCAGCATGTATCCTCTGCTGAAGCAGATGTTGAAAGCAAGTCCAAGAGACACAAGCGAGATTACCGGAGTGGTTCTCATAAGAATGGTGATTATGAGGAGCATGAAGACAGAGAATTTGCTGAGGATGGGGAAGTTTGGTAGTGATTTTTCATTCTAATATATTCCCCTTTGTTCAATAACGGCTTGATATGTTTTATTTTTTACATGTTATTTATATGATTGCATAGTTTATTAGATTGACAATACATATATATATCTATCATGCCTTTTTTTTTGGTAACTGATCAACATATCATGGTCACTACTTGAGTTTCTAATTCAGTTATTCTCATGCTTGATCTTCTGGCATCTTTTGCAGAAGGGAGTGTCTTATTGGTGGGGTTATTTTTTACCCCACAATTCTCCCATCCCACCCCATTAAACAATAAATCATAAAACTGTTACGTTCACCTTTTTTAGTAACTAAGTCTCTTCCATTTTATACTCATCCTACTAATAACAAAATTTATCTCAATCTTTACCTTTAGGATTTTTTTTATACTCATCTTATACAACGTATACACTAAATATATTAAACTGGTTTTCATTTTGTATTTTTTTCATCCCGATTGCTTCAATTGTTGTTGTCCGATCGGCAGTGATCTCAATCGCGAATAGCAAAAGTGATGGCGGCGGTGATAGTGGTGGTGGTGGGAGTGATGGCGACGGTGGCAATGACGGTGGTGTTGGTGGCGGTGATGGCGGTGGTGGTAACGATGACGGTGGTGGCGGTAGGATTGGTTACAATGGTGGTGGAGGTAGTGATGAGACGGTTTCAAACGCTATTTTTTTTAAAGTATTTATGAGAAGTAATTTTTAAAAGTATTTTTAAAAAAACACTCCAAACTAACCTTTAGGAACCTATTTTTTCTATTAAATTTAGGGGGTTAATATTAGTTATTGGATTAACTTTAAAATATAATTTAAAGCGATTTTAACTGCGAATAGCAAAAGTTATTTTGTTTATCTTTTGAGATTTGAATTGTAAGCTACTTTATTATATAGATTATATTTGAACAAGCAAAAATATATATTTTTATGATATAAGAACACATGCATAAATTGTAACATCCCAAAAACTACCCTGGACTACATCACAAATTAAAGTTATTCATATCATGAGAGCACTAAGATAATCCATAAATAAATGAGACTTCATTTGTCCTCTATAAAATATTTACATCATTATCCAAAAGAATATGTCGAATCCTAGGATTACATCCCAAAAATTTAACTATTATAATGCAATAGAAATACAAAAAGATTGACTTTACATAATCTCAAAAAAAATCTCTAGTCTAGAATAAAAGAGAATATAACTCTAGACATCCATTTCGGAATCCCCGTTCCCCTCTATAGGAGCTTCCCAATGTGCTTGTTCATTTACTCCTAACTCCTCCTCATGGGCGTAATTTGAAAAGATATTATTTATAGGGGGTGAGTACTAAGCTCTGTAGCAACATTCTTCCCACACTCAAACAAGGTTTAGAAAACATATTAAAATGGTCGGTCACTTTTTACAAATTGCATATATACATTTGAAATGAAACAGGGACATTTAAACGAATCTCAAGTTCAAGCACAACAAGAAGTTCATGTATAAGAGAAATCAATAAACAACTATTAATCTATTTCACTATAAATCGTTTACCTCAAGTTCTCACAAAATCTCATACTTTTTAAGATTCTTGTAGAAATCATTTTTGGTACAATGAACAATAACCCAACACAGTATTCGTATCTCAGGTATGATGTAAGATCTCACATGACTACCATCGAAAATATCATGTCCCACATACACCCACATAATTCCTTTTTCCACGATATCCCGTGAGCGATAATGGTTTAGTCCTCTCAATGCACTAATACTATTACGAGTGGTAGGAATAGTTCAAACCCACACGGGTAAGAAGTCGTCTACCTACTCCACAATATCTGGTCAATAGTAACTCATGTTTATCCACACAACCACACAAGAGATACAATACCAACAATTTCATCAATAACAAACAATTTTTCAAGCCTCCAATTCCATGGGTATTTCTAAGAGCACAAGTAATTCCAAAAATTCCCAATTTTTACAATTGTAATACAAGAGAACAATTTAATGAAATAAGCAAGAGATTCTCAATAATATCATTTTGATACCCAACACAAAACATTAGAATCTTGGAAATTAAGAAGGATGGAACAATTAAGAGAAAACTCATTTATCATGAAAACTAGGGTTTCATGCCAAGAAAAGAGATTTAATAGTTATCCAACAATTACTTTGCTTAAAATAGGGTAATCATACAAGTACAACAATAATCTAAGATTTTATAACCTACATAGAAGATATAGAGTCAAAATGATACATATATATATATATATATATATATATATATATATATATATACTTATATATATATATATAAGTCCTAGCCTTAATGTAAGAGAATGAAAGAAAACCTCTATCTTGAATCAAAGTTCCAAACCAAAATCTAAACTCTAGAGACCTCATTTCTTCCTTTCCTCTATCTTCTCATAGGGTGCTAAGAGGTTTGGGGTGAGAGTGAAATGAAAGAAATAGAAGCAAATGGACTAAAATCTGTGTTTTAAACTCAGCAGTCCCGACGGTTACTGTTCACAGGATGAAATTTGGGTTTTTTCCAAAATTATGGTTTTACCATTAAAAATCTCTAATTTGATCCATATGATTACTTTAAGGTTTTTCGACGTTTCGGATTCATTTTTGATGTTATTTTAACCTAAAAATATTTATTTTTATGATTTATCTGAAAACTAAAGTAAATTTACACTCGAAACACTAAAATTATTATTTTATTCTGTCGAACCGCTATATATGCTAAACGACTATTCCAAGTTTTCGGATTTCCTAGGTTCAATGATAATATTATTTTGACCTAAAAAAATTAATATTTTTACTTAGTTACCCTTATCAACCTTAAACATCTCTAAAATTCTATTTACCCCAAAAGTCAATATGCTTGAAACAAATTTCAAAATCAATATTCTAACAATGATTCTAATTTTCTACGATCATTTTATTTATCTTAAGATAAATCTTAAGATAATATTAACCTTATTTAATTTTTAATATGGGGTCTTACATAAACTATACAAAAGACTTGAATTTTCTCTTCTTTTGTTTATGATTTTTGTGGAATTTATATGAAACCTTAATTTTATATTTGGATTCTAAATTAATTACTAGTGGATTGAATTGTTGTTTATTGAGTTCTCGACATTCAAGTTTGCGTGTTTTGTGGTAGATTGATTTACTTTGATATGGTTACAATTAAATGTCTTGTATTTAATTGGATTCTAATATTTCAAATTTAATTGCTATAAATTGCAATTTAAAATACATTGTCTCAATTTATTTATTTTTATAATTCTGACAATTTATAATAAATCTATGATTCTTAACAGCGGTTGACGGAGTGACAACTGCCCTATTCGAATTTTATCGTCTCTTGTAATAGTGTTTAACAAAAAAAAATATTTAATTTATGGGTTAATCTCATTTTGCACCCCCGAAAGATCATTCGAATCTCAATTTACACCCCAAAGATAAAAAATCTCAATTTTCACCTTCAAAGATAGAAATTTGTATCAATGTACACCCCCAAAGATAAAAAATCTCAATTTTCACCTTCAAAGATAGAAATTTGTATCAATGTACACCCCCAAAGATAAAAAATCTCAATTTGCACCCTCAAAGATAGAAATTTGTATCAATGTACACCCCCAAAGATCAAAAATCTCAATTTGCACCCTCAAAGATAGAAATCTGTATTAATGTGCACCTAAAACTAAATTGATAAATTATACCTAGATCCCCTCATGTTTGTCACTTAATCATTTGAACCCCTTCACATTTAGAATATTACCCCTACATCTCATGACGTTTGTACATGTGTAAACATAACCACTTTTCGTTGATATCTATTAATATAATCGTTAAAAAATATGATTTTATCCTAATAAAAAATTATAATTTCATATTACCCTTTATTTTGTGGATTCGATATACTCTAAAGTTCAAAATCAAACTTATCATTTGAATGTCTAATAAAATGTAGATATTTATATAAAGGAAAATATGAAAAAAATTATATAAATATCTACATTTTANCCTAATAAAAAATTATAATTTCATATTACCCTTATTTTATGGGTCCAATATATTCTAAAGTTCAAAATCAAGCTTACCATTTGAATGTCTAATAAAATGTAGATATTTATATAAAGGAAAATATGAAAAAAATTATATAAATATCTACATTTTATTAGACATTCAAACGGTAAGCTTGATTTTGAACTTTAAAGTATATTGGACCCGTAAAATAAGGGTAATATGAAATTATAATTTTTTATTAGGATAAAATTATATTTTTTAACGGTTATATTAACAGATATTAATGAAAATGGGTTACATGTTGTACGTGCATAAATGTCATGAAATGTAAGAGTAATATTCTAAATGTAAAGAGGTTCAAATGATTAAGTGACAAACATGAGGGGATTTAGGTATAAATTATCAATTTAGTTTTAGGTGCATAATGATACAAATTTCTATATTTAAGAATGCAAATTGAGATTTTTTATCTTTGGGGTGCACATTGATATAAATTTCTATCTTTGAGGGTGCAAATTGAGATTTTTGATCTTTGGGGTGCACATTGATACAAATTTCTATCTTTGAGGGTGCAAATTGAGATTTTTAATCTTTGGGGGTACAAATTGAAATTCGAACGATCTTTCGAGGTGTAAAATGAGATTAACCCTTAATTTATTATACGTAGAATTGTATTTTATACCCGTTACAAAATTTTGGTTCTGCTGTAAAAAAAAATTAGAAAAAAAAACTGACTAGGAACTAAATAAATATATTTTAATAAAAAAAAGTAAATAAAATAAAGGGAAAATTTTATCCACACTTTCTCTAGGTAGGTCTAAATTTAATGACACCTCCTCTAGATTCTGAAACTTAATTGCACCTCCTTCTGATTTATAATTTCAAATTAAAGATGTTTCCTTAACGTCAATTTTTAACTTAGTCATTACAAAAAGTAAAGGTTTGACTATTAATTTTCTAAAAATGTCAAAATTACCATTTCTTGTAAATATATTAAAATGTCATCAACCATTTTCCCATTATATATACCATACCTTTTGTTGTTGTTGAAGGTCAAAAACGATATGGTGTTGGTAGAAGATATAAGGGACTAAAGCCAATCATTCTTTTTCAACTTGTTCTTCACAGTGATCGATCATTACTTAAATTGGTAAATTTTTTTTATTTTTTTTTTTGTAGATTTGTAAATGTTTTTCATATCGATTTTTAAATTTTTTTTTTATGCAGTTTTTTAAAATTTTTTTTTTCATGCAGATTTTTTTTTATTTTTTAAAAAAAATTTCATGTAGATATTTTTAATTTTTTTCTTGTTGAGATTTTAAAATTTTTTCATGCAATTTTTTTTTTTAATTTTGCTAATGCACATTTTTTTTATTTTTTTCTTCCATTTTGTTATGTCAACATGTTGTGATGTATTATTGTAAGATTTATGTCTTCTTCGATTGTTGGCGGAGGCAGAGACATAGGGGAGGAAGATTTCTATCATTATATTATACCTATGAATTTTTATCATTTTAAAGTATTACATGATAACTTTGTTATAATATTAGTAATCATATTATCACTTATTTGATTATATAATCGAGGTTTATAATTTTTATAATAAAAAATAATTTTTCTATAATTAAAAATACAATTGATAAAGTTTATGTCAAAATCTCATCAATTTTTAACTTTTTTGCTTTTATCTTTCCTCCACAACGTCACCTGACTACTATTTACACATCACCATTCATATATAAAATTTAAATATTATTGGGTAAAATTTAATAATAATTGAATAAATTTGGTCTTAATTTTATAAATTTAAATATTAATTTGATATTTATATTCAGTGTTAATTTAATAAAATTTAATACATTTAAATATTACTTAATGAAATTAAATGTTCATTTAGTGTTAAATTAAATATTTGACATTAATTTGATAAGGTTAAATGTTAAATTAATGGAATTTAATATTCTATTTAATATATTAAAATTTAATTTAATAAAATTAAATGTTAATTTGATTTTGACTTGATGAAATTAAATAATAATTTAATATTAAATTAAAGAAATAATATTAATTTGATGAAATAAAATATTAAATTAATATAACTAAATGTTAATTTGATAAAATGAAAAATAAATATGTATTGATTTGATGAGAGGAAATATTAATTTAGTTTAAATTAAATATATGATATTAATTTAATAAAATAAAATATTAAATTGATGAACCTAGCTATAAATATAATAAAATTAAAAGGGAGCGCATTGAAATTTTAGAATTGGGAGGGAATACTAGTAAAAATAGATCTATTTATAAGGAGTATTGTTGAAGTTATGTTTATTTACTAGAAGTGTGGATAAAATTTACTCATAAAATATTTAGGGATATTTTTATAAATTAACAATTGCCGTTAACGATAAACACGGAAAAGGGTTACAGTGAAGTTTTAAAATTGGGAGGGAGTATTATTGAATTTAGACTTAATTAGGGGTGTGGATAAAATTTTCGCTAAAATAAAACCCATAGGCCACCGAGACGTTACAAAACCCTTCCTCTCACCGGACTTGTCTCCACAATCGGAACTAGTTCAGATAGTGGAGGGCTGCCGGCGAAGTTCCCACTACTTTTTTCAATGCAGGCGGTAGTGTGGGGCCCGCGTTTGGCAAACCTATCAAGCTGTTCCTGGCGAAAAGCTTTTCATCTCCGAGCTTTCTCATCTTCAACATCGTCTGATTACTCCAACCAATCCCGTGGTGGCCTCCCTCGCTTCTACTCCCATGTCCTCCCTCCTTCGAAGGCACGCACATAACCCTCTCTCTCTACACACACACACACATGCCCCTTCTCTCGCTCTATCACTCTTTTGTGTATGATCTTTTACTGTATTTATTAAGTAGATTTTGAAGATGGAAGATATTGGAATAAACGGGTAGTTGTATTGGCATATAATTAAGTGCGCGAAGTGTTTTACTTTGTGTGATAAAAATGCAGGGTGGTGTTGTACGTGTGGAAGGTGATGAATTCTGGCATATGACTAGAGTTCTACGATTGAGCACGAACGATAGGTACTCCAAATTACAGTAACTTGTGATTTGAGCTTGTTTGGTTATGTAGATTGATGTGTAATTGTGTAGAAAAGTTTTCAATTTTTACATTGAACTAAGTGGGTGAGAAAGCAAGAAGCATATGCAAGTTAATCTTGGGTAGTATTTGTATGTTGTAGATGGTTAGTTTTCTTTATGTTCAAGCAGTGGAGCAATGAAAAATTGTTTGGATGAATCTATACAATTGCTGGATAATATTTATGTATTATATTATTTGGGCCTGCCTCTTGCTTTTCCATGTGCAATCGGTGTCAGTTTCCAGTTTTTCTTGTTTGCAATAACCCTATTCAGTTCAATTGTTGCTTCAAATAGGATAAAGTTGAAGACAGTGATTTTGTGTTGGTATCTGTTTCGATTTCATGGATTTTGTGGGAAAGTAGACAAAAAAGTTTGGCTCTAAAACACTGGATGCCATAAAATTCAGGCTTTGATTTTGTTTCCTATGTCTTCTACTCGACATAATAATCATACTCAGAAGCCACTCAGTGAAAAGAGAATTTGGAGGATGTGAAGAGGAGGAAGAGTAATGCAGGTCGTTAATGTGTTCCCATAGCAGTGATAAACCATCTACTGCATAGATTCCATTGCAATGAATTTAAAACCCAGATGAATGTGGCCCTTCTAGTATTTTAGGCTTGTCAGTGAAGTAAAAGACGGCAGAAGTGAATTTTGGCACAAAGTAACTAATAATATGATTCGTGCTCTACTTTTCTACTTAGAAAGTTGCAGAAAAACGGAATGATTGAGCTTTTGTCCTGCAGCCTAAAATTTGATTCTTTTATGGAAGTAGAAGTAATTATGATGCAAGTTTCAAAATATAGTCTCAAACTTAGGATAGCCTGATTAAAGTTTATTACCTATGATAAAACTACAGGTAAAATTATAGGTAATAACTTGCTTACTACTTAGGCAATTTTTCTCATCATGATTTGCAAATTGCAAGGGTAGAGCTTTTTAATGGAAAAGGAAGTTTAATTGAAGGTTGCATACAGAGGGTTGACCATGCTGGACTGGATTTTGTGGCACTGGAGGACCCAAAGTTAGTGTCTCCTCAGACCGTGCAATGGCATGTGTTTGCTGCTTTTGGTGAGCCTCTGAGGTGTTTTCTGGAACTTTTGGATATCAGGGTTGTTATTTGAAGCAATGAGGTTTGCATTATATTCTCTAAACCATTATTTTAGGTTCTTTAAAAGGTGGTCGAGCTGATTGGCTTGTGGAGAAATGCACCGTATGTATTAGATGTCTTTGGTGTATTATTTTTTTGGGTTTTTTTTTTCCCCATTTTCATTTCGAACTTACTTTCTGCCCTTCTCCCATCCCCCATATCTCAGGAGCTGGGAGCCAGTAGTGTAACACCTCTGTTGACTGAACGATCTGTTACAATTTCGGAAAATCGGATGGATAGACTGCAACGAGTTATTTTAGCAGCAACTAAACAATGTAATTAATTCCCCCAGTGTTACTTTCTCTTCCGACTTGGTGTTTTAAATTGATTTGCTATATCGCTGACTATCCTGTTTGGCATAATTCAGCTTCAGGATGTCATTGTTATTGTTTTGTAAGATATTAATCCTTTTTATAGGTCAACGGCTGCATGAGATGACTTTGCACCCTCCTATGAAAATTGCTGGCCTTTTTCCTATTGTGAGTTACTTTTCCCCTTGTATATATAGTAAGCTTTCAGATATCATCCAACTCTTTAGTAATCTATCATGCCTTGTTTGTGTAGGTCTTGCAGTCTAAGTTTTCTTTTGTGGCTGCGGCGGAGGCCATTCCTGTTATAAGTGCTCTGAATTCCTCAAGAAAAGAATCAAGTGGATTAGTAATAATCGGACCAGAAGGGGGTTAGTACTCATCTCTCTCTCTGCTCTGAATTCCTCAAGAAAAGAATCAAGTGGGTTAATAATAATCAGACCAAAAGGGGTTTAGTACTCATTATAGGTTAGTTCTCTGAATTCCTCAAGAAAAGAATCAAGTGGGTTAATAATAATCGGACCAGAAGTAGGCTAGTACTCAGCATATGTTAGTTCTCTCTCTCTCTCTGTGCAGCTGCTTGAACATAATGATGCCTGCTCCATTGGATGTCTTAATTGGTCTTAATATGAATATCTTTGACAGTGATGCATTAAGTAACCCACTGATTGGAATCGGATTATATTTCGTTATAGTAGGCGCTGACGTAGGAATTATGAATTATTTGTCATTTTGCTTTTCAGGGGCTTAGTTGTCATTTTGACTATTTATTTATTTTAGAGTTTGTGATCCCCTTATATATATATATATATAGGGGATACGATTTTTGTTTTTAGTAGACTTTGATTATTATTAAATACTGATATTGCTTCATTCTTAAATTATTTCTCTTTTCTCATCCCTTTCTTCTTCTCTTCTCATGCCTAATTCTTCTCTTCCTAGTCTACATCAATTTGGTATTAGAGCTAATACGATCTACATCACCCACATTTTAATGTGCAGGGTCAATTACTACATTGCCTCTTGGCTTTTATTAGTTGTCCAGTAGAACTGAGACAACCTTCATGGAAAAGGTTTCTTCTGTGTTAATTGTACAATGACTTGATGTGGATGTATTAACTTGACTTGCACAACAGCACAAGAACAGATGTAGTAGAAGTCCAAAATGAAACCACATACTTGTAGTATGTACAACTCCAGTTTAAAAAGATTCAATTTTTGCCTTACAATTAATTTGTTACATAAGATTAGGTCAACATGGAACTGTTGTGGGACCCTTTTTTATCTTCCCACACTGGAGGAGATGGGTAGAAACATTTTCAACTGAGTTTTAGAACCTTAAGGAACGTAGTTTAATACTTGCAGCTCTGTCTCAAAAATGGATTAAATAGATCGTTCTGCATATTCCAGCTGCATTCCATCAGTTTTTTGAAATTCCTTTTTGAAGGCATCAGTTGACTATTTCAAAATTTTTTAGCAGTTAAAACTAATTATCATTTGGATATATTTTAAATTTGTTAGCCAGGACCTGCAGTAGCAGTCCACCTTTCTTCTTTTCAAGTCTAGTGATTATCCTTATTAGGTATAGATTGTTCTTAGCATTCAAAATTGTCAAAGTTCTGTTATTTAGGAGTCCTTACCCAAGATGAAGTAAGAGAACCTCAATAGACTGTATGGCTACAGGTGGGACCATCAATTTTATACCCGACACGTGTATTTGATATGAAAACACAGAATTAGCAGGTTCGAGTGTTAAACGAGTGGACTCTTTGACCTGTCAAATAAATGGGTTGACAGGAACTTGATTAGACACTATTATAAATGGGTGGGATATAAGTTGAATAAACATTAATACGAAATGAGTTACATGGTTTAAAAACATGGTGACCCTCCATCAGGACAGCAGGTCTTAAGGAATTGTACACAAGTTTTAATACCTTTTTTTTTCTTCTCCTCGTCTTTGGCTACCATTTTGGGTCACGGTACGAATTGTAGAATAGCCTCAATTTCATCTTCAAAACTCTATGCCCCATGCTATAATCAACATCTATCTGTTGCCCAACCTTTTGGCCATTAAATTATTTACTTGCAACTATAGCTATTAATCTAGTTTTATTATCTGACTCATTCTTGCCCTTGATGATTTTCTAAATTTATTACTTTCTTTGGCCTTTATTAACCCGAAACCTAACATATTTTGTAAACTTAGGTCACCAGAAAAATCACAATAGATATCATCCTTCTATGTTTGCAAGTGCTGTCTGACATCATTTGTAGTTCGGTTCTGCTCAAATATTGGTTATTACAGTGTAAAATTGTGAAAATTATGCTGAGAGCTAACGTTACTTTTGAAACGTGGTGGTTTAGGAGCTCAGAAAGAGTATGGAAACATGTTCCACTAAATTTGAACAATTTATTAATTATTATGGACTGCCTGTTGGTCTGTGTCTTTGAAAAAATAAGTGTCCTGTAAGATTTACCTTGAAATACTTTGTAAAACCACCTATGCTTAGAGCCTGACTAGTAAATAAAACTTTGAAGCAGCAGCCTATACCCAGCCCAACGCCACTGATCAATGTAAACCCTTGATCAAAAACGAAATATCTGAATTGGTCATCTATCTTATGCATTTTTTTGGATTGCGGTAGAGACAAGTACATTTTAATTTTTTTGACAGACTGAAAGAAACTATATTCTGAACCATGCTGATATGATTGAGTTTACTTGTTTAAATGTGTAACAATTTATTTGAAACTGTATTCATACGTCTGGAAAGTTGACATAGTCGTTTTTGTGTTGGTCATTGTACTTTTTAGACTTCACAGAGAAAGAGATGAACATGATGGTAGAAGCAGGTGCAATTGCAGTTGGTCTAGGGCCTCACCGCCTACGAGTAGAAACTGCTACAATGGCACTGATGGCAACTCTAATGTTGTGGTCGGACTCTCAGGAACAATCCACTTCTTAGCTGTGCTGGTAGGTACCCCTTGGTTGTGCAAATATGGAATATTTTTCTACTTGTTGGATGATATTGTCACTCTCTCTCTCTCTCTCTCTCTACTATTTACCCTGTCCGGCTACCCATCCTTGGAGGAAGGGATGGGGTTGGGAAAAAAATCATTTAATATTATATGTTTGTGTAATTGGTGAAAAAATTGCTCTTTGAAAGTTATTTTTAGTATGCAATGTTCAACTGAACACTCACCAAGTATAGTGTGGTGTACTGAATATAAAAAATAACACATGGGCAACTATCTGACCTGAATAAAAAGAAAATGAATTTTCTTTTAATTCAGGAATAGGAGAGTATCACATACAATTTCTCTTATAATTCTAGGCATACAAAGTGAACGATTCAGTGAACATGTTACCTAATTTGATTAGTTTGTGGAGTAGAGACATGATGTAATAAACAGATGATGTTCTGAGCAAAATTATTTCAACTTACAACCATTCACTTTTGCGATGCACAAATATAAAGTGTGGTTATGAGTCTTATGACATACATGTCATGATGTTGGGACTGGAGGACATGCCTATTATGAGATATATGCCCAGCAGCGTTGCTAACAAAGGATGTATATATCACTACTGTTATACTTGTTAAATATCCTACTATGACAGGATTACCATAAATTCTGTAGTACAAGCAGTTCAGTAGAACTACGTTATGAGCTAGATGATTCAAGTTTCAGCTGGGAGATGGGTTTAGGTGTACTATTTACCAAGGACAATGGGGTTGTAAGTGTGGAAAATCCAAGCTGAGCTGTGCTAAATTGAACAGCTTCAACCCAAACATGTTTCTTGGAATTTTAAAATTCAGACAAACTAGTAAATGATAAAATGTGATTGAACAGTATGGTATTGTACCATATTGTGATGAGGGTTTTCTGAAAATTTGAGAAAGTTCAAATGTACAGAACTAGTTGGTAAGGCATATATGTGCCCCTATCTATACACTAGCTGCTAGCTGAAGTGGTTTTTTCTGCCGCTTTTGAAGGGTGAGTTTTCGGGTTACTGGGACTCGGGTGTGTGCTTGATTTATTCAATTTCAATATACATTAATACGATATAAAACAAGAGGACAGAGTAATATCCGCTTTAGCTCGGCAATTTCATAAGTTCACATGGACTTTGTTGCGACTCAGAATTTGTGAACCTGTTAGATGGATTAACAGAAGAAACTGGGGATCCTTTCTTACTAGTTTTACACTGATGATAATGTGTGCACTTCTAACTTTGAGTTCTGTCCTATGTGCTGAATTTTTGTTGATCAGTTTGCCTTACAATTTTTTCCATATTTTCCTAGCAGTTACCTATATATGCTTCTAGTCTCCAACTATGTTTTTTTAATTCCGATAATAATCTTTGTTTGGTTGAATGGTTTTTTTTCTTGGATAAATTATTTTTTTTTTTTTTTTGATTCACACCTAACCAGTTACTCTAACAGAGTAAGGGTCAAGTGGAGACTTATAGACACACTCACACACCCAAAGCTATTCGATGTGGGATAGTGCAGTCCCCCAACACCCCGGCGTTATTACCATGAGCGCAAGGCCTAACGGCCCAAAGAGTGGGTTTCTAGCCCAACACTGAACGCCTCATATGGACTTGAAAGTGGTTTTTTTTGATTCACACCTGACTATTTACTCTAACAAAGTAAGGATCAAGTGGAGACTTATAGACACACTCACACACCCGAATCTATCCGATGGATAAATTAGTTGAATGGTGTTATTCAACATGAACAAGATTTGCAATCCTTTATCGGTCTAATAAATCAAATGCATATTGACTTTCAGTGCCGGTTGTTTGCTGCCTTGCTGTATCTAAGGCAGGTTTTGGCTGTTTCTCTTGTAGAAATTCCTGTCTTCTCAACTCTTCTTTCTTTTATATTAAGTCCGTGGAGCCGGCTTAAATAGGTAACTTTTAAATGTTTTAGGGTAAAATAAGCCATGTCAGTTTAGGCTAGTTCTCTATTTTTTTGGAGTTTTGTCACGGTCCCTTATAATTTTTTAGTTTATTATATTCATAAAATATTATTAGTGACGCAAAAAAATTTGGAATTCATATTTTGGGAATTATTATATATAATCTATAGATATATGTAAATATTTTTTTATTTTGACATAAAGCTAGAAAGGCATTTCAAACAAAAATTTTCAACTTTTTAAAGAACATCCCAAACTATTTTAGATGGCTTTTTTAACTCTGACCTTTTTGTAAATTTTGTAAACTACAATTTCTTAACTAAAAAAGTCAACTCTAAACAGACTGATGAGTTAAAAATACTCAAATATTGGAGGGCATGTTAAAGGTTTTTTTTTTTTTGAAACAGGGAATTGTTCCAAAACATGCAGTTTTGTATTGGTGGTTAAAATGCCAATGCACTTGATTGCTTGCAAGCCATGGTTAATCCTAGATTTTCTGGGTCAGAAAGACTTAAAGGCAGGTTCACATTTCATCTATTAGTTTATGTGGTTATTTTATGTTTGGTTACTATAGAGGTTGTCGTTTAAGTTAAACATTTTTATATCAGCAGATAAATCTAAATAATCTTTGCTTGCATGAGTCTCTCTCTCTCTCTCTCTCTCACACACACACACACACACATTCAAGTTGATTGGAGGATTGAGGAAAAGTTGTGCTTAACCAGGGGAGGCATTTCACTCTTTTAAATCATTAAATAAATTTTGTTTTAGTTGCTTGTCATGTGAGAAAACACTGTTGACTTGAAAGTGGAGGTCTTGGAATCTCCACTCGAAAGTCTTCCTAATGGAATTCATTTATGTCCATTTATATCTCAACTAACTTAAAAAGGTGTCTAACCCTCTATTGACTGACTTAGATTCCCAAATCTTGTGCTTTATTGGTCAGCCACCATTTGTTGGTTGTTGTGAATTACTCGTAGTATTAATAACTTGAAAAACTATTGGAAAGGAGGAATGTGCTGCACATGCACATGTAAGAGTAATTTGAATTTGAATTTGAATTGGACTTGTGACTTATGTTATACTTAAAAATTTTCTTGTTTTTGGATGTTCGAATGGATACATAGATAAGTCATTTTTACTTATTCGTCAATGAGCATTGTCCTTCAACACTATACAGTTATAAGTCGGAGCCAAAATTAAGGTCTCACTGTGTGTTTTGGCTGCTGAAGAGAAGGTTTAGTCTTACTGAAAAACATGTTGTAATTGTGAAGACTCGAATTCAAGTATTGAATGAGAAAATTTGAGTTTTTACCCAATAGACCAACTGTTCGATAGTAGAATTATGCGATTAATAAATGGGTGCTTAAGTTAATTTTTAAGATAATATATATATAAAAATTAATTTCATATATTTTTCAGAATACATTATTGTTTTTAACAATATTATTGGCATCTAATATTGTTTGTTGTTTTTGTAATCATACCAACAATTCTTAATGTGAGAGTATCTAACAGATCATTTTGCTTACGTTATTTAAATTTTGTTTTGTTTTAATCATTTTACCCTCTGCCCATTGTCGGACATATTTAGCTGAGTCATGTCGTATTATTTTAAATTTGTATCAAATTTATGGAAAGCTCTACGGTCTGTTCGGTTATGAAAAAAAAATGATGAAAAACAAAAATAATAAAAAATGAAGTGAAAGAAAAAAAAGTATATTTTCATGCATGTATTTGATTATAACAAAAAATTTACAAGAAAATTTTAAAGAAATTTCATTCTATTGTTTTAAAGAAAGTAAAGTTATAAGAAATTTTTTATAATTGTCTAAATTATCTTTAACTGTATTAAATCGGTCTAAAAAAGAAAAAAAATATGTAATTATAATTGAAAGTTAAAAGTTTTTTAAAAAAAGGTTCGAAATCTAATTCTAAGACAATCACTAACACAATGGTTTTTGAGCTAAATTATACAATTAATTAAATTTATACCAGTTTTTTTTAAAATTAAAAACAAATAAAATATTTTAAGAAAAATAAGGGTAAAATGAAAAGTTAGTCATAGATCACAACTTTCTTGTATTTTCTTATGTTTTTTTACAAGAAAAAAAAGTTGGTTATTTATGAGAAATTAAGAAAATTATTTTTTCCATCATTTTTCTTTTCATGCTAATCAAACACATGAAAATTTAAAAAAAAAATTATTTCTTACATTTTTACCATTCTCTTACTAAACAAACAAATCCTATGGTATCAAATTTTTTTATTTTTTGGTATTGATACTATTTTCTATGATAAAGTAATAACTTTGAAATATAGAAGTTATAATAATTCAAGGGATACCATGATCAATCATAGAGGTCCATGATCGATCATAAAAAATGCGGTATTGATCTCAATATTTTATGATTGATTATACCATTTAAAATTATAATTTATACTTAAAAAATTTATAATGTAACATTAAAAAATTATAACTTGCGTTACCAATACTGTGTGCAGTACCGGAGAAGTTCCCCAAATTTATTAATTGAATATATGGTGGCCATCAGAGGTGATAGATAACACCATGAGCTAGTTACTTTCTGCTTACGTGTCATTGGGCAAATTGGGACCCATGTTCACTGACCTGAGTCATGTCTTGTATCGGTCACCGGCGAAGGGCAAAGTAGTCATTCCAGTCCTGTAATATCAAGTGCCGTGACTTGGAAGAAGCTGAAAAATTCGCTTACTGTTACTACATTGTCAAAGACGCAATGTTTTACTTGTCCATGTGCTTGATTTATTACGCAATTGACTGGAGTGACCCTATGTCGTCATTTCTGCTTCTTTAGAAGAAAAATTATCGGCTTAAGTCGAAGTGTTTTTGTTTTCATTTGCTTTTGAATTTGGAAGTACAAAATTGTGGCTGATTCGTACCTAGAAGTTTCAACCAAGAATCAAATTTGTACTTTTGAAGCAGATGAAGCCGAAACGAATTAGTGATGTAACCAAAAAATTAATCTTTAAAGCGTTTCAAAATGTTTTCAAGTATTTCGATATGTTTTAAAAATTTTTGAGGTATTTTAAGACTTTTTAGTATATTTCGATTAATATTTTAGAATATTTAAAAAATAAATTCTCAAATATTTTATTTCTTTCCATTTTTTCATTTGTTTCGAGATGTTTTGATGTTTTTTTAGATGTTTCAGCGTATTTTGACCAAAATTTTGAAAATAAATTTTTAAATATTTAATTCGTTTCCATTCTGTTTTAAAAATATTTTCGTTTTTTAAGTGACTTAAACAATACACCGAAATAAAATTTTAATCCTCGACTTCTCTAATTTGGCAACTGGTTGGATGTCATATTGCAATTGCTATGGACTAAGCTTTAGAGGATTTTTGTCAAAGTTTAGGACAATTTTAATATTTGCCATTGTGTTTTTTTTTCTATGTGGAACTCAAATGTCGTACGTCATGCATGCATACGTGTAGTAATCTAACTTTTGTACTTAGGGTGTCACTAAAATATTAAAAAAAATTATTTTTCGGTATCCCCAATAAATTATTTTTAATTATAAATGTTGATCTAAATTATTTGTGGTCTTTCATCACAATAAAAAAAAAATAAGGTGAAAGAATGAATGAAAGAAAATTACTTTATATGTGTCACAGTCTTATTAAACAAAAAGAGATTTACGGTAACGAAAATTATTTTTTCGGTATAGTAGTATGTCTTTTTTGTAGAAATGTTTTCAATCTCCAACCTTGAGGCACGACTGATGAAATAAATATATTCTATACAAATCAGGCGGGTGAATAAATATTTTCGAGCAAGAGTTCATAACCATATCAAAAATAACAACATAAAAAAAAAGTATGAACAATCGCGGGGGAAAATCGTTGGGGGGAAATTAGAGAGTTTGACGATATAAATTTAAAATATATATGTTTGAAACTCAAACTCGTTTAAAAATATCAGTCCTTATGTACTAAATCTATCCAATATATGTTACATTTGTGGATGGCAAGCAAATGACAAGTCTTCCCCGAAAAATAATTTACTATATACTAATTTCATTGTGACTTGTGCGTTTTGGTGCTACGTGATGGAAACATTAGTTTTTCGCATGTGGAATGAAAATTTATATATTTAACCATCTTCGGACTCTGTTATGACAAAAGTATCGTGTATTTGACTATTTTTTTTTTTAAAGCTTTTTGTTATGAGAAACATCCACTAAGGTATGTAAAATACAAAATCTCTATAAGCTCTAAAGTATAGTTGTGAACACGAGAACCTATGTTACAAAAATTTTCAAATACTTCCTCTGTCCCTAAGTATTTGTCGTTTAAGGTTTTTGCACAGGAATTAAGGAAGCTATTAAATAGCTGTAATATGAGTAAAAAATACTCCATCCGTTCCTAAATATCTGTCGTTTTATCTAATTTTTTTTGTTCCACAATATCTGTCATTTTATATAACCAAAACATAATTAATATTTTTTCTTCTAAATTTATCCCTATCTCTGTTTTTCTGATAAGTGCTTAATAGATTAAGTGTATGTTAAATGTCTTTCTCCCAATAAGTATTGAATAAGAATATTTTAATCTTGTGCAATTATTTTTTACTCATACTAGAGCTATTTAATAGCTTCTTTAATCCCTGTGCAAAAACATTAAACGACAGATATTTAGGAATGGAGGGAGTAATTACACAAGATTAAAATACTCATCTTCAATATGTATTGGGAAGGAAAAGAATATGAAAGATACTTAGCCTCCACTTAATCTAATGCATTGAAAAGTTAAGAGTAAATTTGGAAGAAAAAATATTAATTATGTTTTGGTTTCATAAAACGACAGATATTATGAAACAAAAAAAATTATGTAAAACCACAGATATTTAGGAACGGAGGGAATAGTTGTCAAGTAAGTCAAAATAATGATCAAGAGTTTTCACATTGTTTGAACAATCTTTAAAATTAAGAGCAATGAAACATTGATTTAAAATGTAGACTTAATATGTGAATTTAATCAATCACTGTCATTGATTCAATATGAGTTCTAACATTTATTAGGACTCATCACTTTTTCAATAATTATGATATCTAAAAAAATAATAAAAATAATAAATACAACAATGATAAAAATATTCACAAATGTGATAAATGTCTCCACAAATATAATATTTTTTTTATACATAAGAAAAGTGATAAAAATAATTACTATAAATGTGAAAAAAACATGCACTAGTAAAAAACTCACAAAAATTGTAAATCAATTACAAAAATAATAAAATTTTTAATTATAAATAAATTCATAAAAATTATAAAAATACTGTATAAAATAATAAATTTTAGGGAGATAATACCAAATATTTTTTGGGCATACAGTAGTCAAATCCTTTTGGGATGGAAATTCTTCTTAACAACCAAGGAGTCATCATTGGCTGCCTCACATCAACTGTTTTGTGCAGCTAATATTATTTATTACAACAAAATATATGGTGGCACTAATAATGCATTAGAACAAATTACACTTATGGCTCCTAACATTTCTGCTAATTATAAGAACATCCTTTTTTGTTTCTCAAATTATACAGTCACTCATTCTGTTTTTGCTGTAGATTCTC